TAAGTGTACCGTTATTGTACCCCGTCATTTAGATGTGATTTAAAACAGTTATGCAGCTGAACACATTGTTTATATTAGCACTCCTATTATTTTGTGGACAACTGTATATTTTAGATAGCATTTTATATTTTTGTATAAATTTGTATCAGCACATCGTTATAGAACATATCAAAGTTGCGGTAAACCTTGGAATGATAGTTTTCAAGCATATAGTTTTTAGATGTCTGATAACCATTTCCGACTAAGTGATGCCTAAATTTTAGGGGACAATTATTTAACTATATTCATTACTATTAAATGAGCAAATATGTATGTTAATTTTGTCATATTCATAAGCTACATATGTATGGTAAATTGCATAAGTTCTATTGCAGGCTTTCTTTTTTTTACACTTATTAATACATATTTACTAAAAGCACTTAATTAAATTTTTCAATAAAGGCTTTACAAATATGTACATGTGCTTATGTGTACCAGTAACTACTTCAGTCTATATCTATTTAATGCTCTATTGTTTTGATCATTGAGGCAAGAGGTGGTGGGGTCTGCTCAAGTGTTCTCAATTGTCGTCGTTGTCACAGCCAATTACTTTTTGCAAATTCGCTACAGCTCAATTACAGCATTGTCACGTACGATAAATATTACACGAAGTAGTTTCACACATGGAGAGGTGTGTGATGAAAATTTTCACATTTCAAAATGGATACTTTTATAGATAAATACCTAATTCGCTCTGTCAAACAGTGGCCGTTGCTTTGCAACCGTAGTTCACGATTGTCAACACAATTTCCATAATAAATTGTCTAAATGTGCAGTGGGTGTGCGCATGCAAATCAAATGAATAAAATTTTGCTCATGAAAAACCATTCAATAGTTATTAGCAAAATTGCATGCGAAAATAATTCATGCAAATAGTATGAATGTTTATGAGTTTGCAAGAAATTGAAGAAAAAATGGCAAAAAGCGTGCACAAAACTACTAAACACCAAAAAAATTGACGTACCAAGACGCCGTATCTTCATTAATCACTGCCAAAGCGGCTGAATTTTTTGAATTTTGCAAACACGCACTCATTTCACTTTTATTTTGTAATACTAGCGGCAAAATACACGCGCTTTTGGAATAAAAAGCCTCTAAATACTTATTTTTTTTGTATAAATTCAATTTGTGGTAGTTAAACTTCAATAAAAAGTTGAAAGCACGCAAAAGGGTTATGCTTTTTTTCCTTTCTTTGTTCCTTGTGTGTTTTCTTGTTATTTATCACAGTTGCGTTACAAGCAAACCAAAAATATTGGTTTTTAACCAAAAGCTTTCACATTTATATTGTTATGTATTTTGTACGCTATTTATATTTCAAATTTTAATACTTAACAGCCAGCGCAAGTAAATATTAAATTTATTTATATTTAAAATAATAATTTTATTTAATAACTGTGTTGTGATTTTCGCTGTTCAACGTCTGACTTTAGACTAACAAAGCGCCAAGAATGCTAACGATTTTTATATTTAAACAAAACACAACAATCTATCCCCTCGACATGGTGTCAGATGGAAAAGGCGACCGGTAGGCAATCGTGCAAGCCGGTGAGAGCTTGAAAGCTTTAACACGTAAAACTCATCATCATTGGCACTCATAGTAGCGCTGTTGAGCGGACCGAGAATAATAAAAAAGATAAATAGTCGACAAATAAAACAAAAAAATATAAAGAAAATTATCTCCCCCAATGACTGCACCAAGCCGCCACTCTTGTGAGCAATGCAGGAGGCTGTATGTAAATATACAGATAATGTACTTAAATGTGAGAGCGTGACGCGTTATTGGTCTTGCGCTCGCTCAAGCACAATGGCTAGTATATGAAAACACACAACCACTTGTTGTTGCATTATAAAATAATGCAATAGATTGAATAAGGTTGTGCAATAGTATTGCAGCGTCCACAAATTTACACTCTACGACAAAAAAGAAAGAAAATAGAAAATTTGTTTGATAATTTTTATGACCAAATTCATTTTATATATAGTATAGCATTTGATATATTGATCTGAATTTTTACATTCTTTTCCCTCCAAATCCTTGAGCTGCCATACCAAGTGATCGATCAAAATCCAGACTTTGTATAGTGCGGATTATTTTCTAAGACAACGGTCCAATCCTCTAAGAAATTATTCGAATCGGATTAGTATAGCAACTAACAAATTTACAGTTCAAAATCAACCCTTTAATGATATAAGTAATGCAACAGTGAAGAGTATTGTAGGCTTAGTGCAGCTGAAGTTTACGATATTCATTTTTATTACATTTTCTTATCTCATAACATGATTTCATCCGGAGAAGTTAGTTAAGATCATCTGAAAGTAGTTTCGTTATAATTTATAAAAGCATGTGGGTTTAAATGTATGTAATGTAGGAGCTTAAATTTTTCTGCTAACATTTACTCTATTTGTTGACGAGTGTAACAATACTAATCAGCATATCAAATTAAAGGATCAGTGCAACTAGAGCAAATTTGCCTGAGAATGAAAGCATTCAATTTTATGCCCACTACTCGCACATATGAAAAAATAGTAACATTTATGTAATTTTAAATTAACATGATGATGCGGAACAATAAAGTACATATACATACATATGAACACATCTGAAAATAAAATAGATAAAATGGCATTGACGTTATAAGCGGGAAAAACGAATGTTGATTAACAATATAGGCCCATAAGGCAGGTGGCCGCTAAAGCCATATAAATTCCTTTATAATTAAGATTAAATTGTAGACATTTTTTAATATTAATTAAGAACTTAAGCTAATTGGCAAATTATTATTTTAATTGAATAAGTTCAAATATCAGTTACAAAAGAAAAAAAACTTAGTCGACGTTTATCCATTTTTCTATGCATATGTACATATGTATGTATGTGTTACTTTGAGCTAGACAATAAATTTGTGACTGTAAATCATAACATAATCACATCTTTTCGGATGCTAGTTATGTATGAATTTTAACGATTTTTGTGAAATAAAAAGTCGTTTTAATTAATTTTTTCCTGTTTTATTTAGTGAATGTGAAAGAGAATTGTATTAACTTTATTTTATCTGCTTTATATCTCAAAATGTTTACACTCTTCCGTCAGACGTGAATACTTTATATAAATATACAGTTATCTATACATATTTATGTAGATAGGTGTGTGTGAGTGCACGAAAGAAGAATGAAAATGTGAGAAAAAATTCCTTTTTTTTTTTGTTATTACCTCATTATACAATATATATGTATGTATCAAGTATTTAATGTATACTTACATATGTATTTTTGTATGTACCTAAGTACATACAGCGTTGTGCAGCGAAATAAAGTCACTACAAGTTGTCTGTATTAAAAGGTATTGTTTTTACAGGTATACAAGTACAAGTATATACCTATGTATGCTTATACAAATATTATAAAATCCTACTGGGTATGAAAACACTTTTTCTCAATTATGATTGTGGTGAAATAATTTTTTCCGACAGGTGTTTCTATTTCGCTCATTTGCATACATACTACATATTTTATTTCCTTATTTATGATCAACTGTCTTCAAATCGTATTTTTGAATAATTTTGTAGTATAATATTTAAAAATTTTAGTATAACTTGTTTATATTTACAAATGTATGTACATGCATTTTCATTATTATTTCCTTTTTTTTGCCATACACTCTTATCTGCAGACGAATAACGAACGGATTTGAGAAAATGAATAACCTCAACAATGCCATTTATTATATAATTAGCATACACGTTTTTGTCTATATAAAATATGTATACATATTTTTTTTTTATACGTACATATGTACATACATACATATATGCATCTGATCAGGGTTGTCAACTTTTAATGGTTTTTGGGATTAAAGTATATTTTCCAGCCCGGTATATGGGACTCAAAGTTTAAAAATTATTTTTACGGATTACAAAAATTCAATTATATATTTAATGCACTATTTGCAACGCTGATCTTAGGAGGAGCTACCAAGGGTTAAGAGAATGCTGAGTTATTTAAAACATTTCGAAACGAGTGTGCTGAGTTATTTAAAACATTTCGAAACGATAAGGGAAAATATTATATTAGGACTTCTTTTGCTATTGTATTAAATTTTATTTATATGTAGATACATACATACATACATACGAATGTACATAAAGTAAGATATTGAGTGTATCCTTACGCAGAGCCAGAAATGTTTCAGTAAAAAACCAAAAATATACAAATTACTTACGACACATTGAGACACCGGATTAAAGTAATGTGTGAATGGTTGATTTCAAAGCTGCTTTCGACAGCACGAAAAGGAGCTGCCTTTACGCCGCGATGTCTGAATTTGGTATCCCTGCAAAACTTATACGGCTGTGTAAGCT